GCAGGTACGGCGGTACTTTCGGAAGAAAAGAAGAGAAAGAGCAGCGAGAGCGAGAAAGAGAGAAGCAGTGCCGTACCACAAATATGTTTGTGATTCCGAAACAGAACTGTCAGTCTCTGTTATATAGGGTCTAATAGCTTCCGTAGAAATACGAAAAAAGGTAACGGCTCCACAGAACGCTAACTTGAATAAGACATGCGAATCGTTGCATCCTCTCTTTCGAGCGATTTCTTTGCGAAATGAACAAACGGCCCCCATGGAAATCCCAATAACTCGCCTTTCGATCGTCCGCGAGGAACAAGGACTCCAAGAGTGTGAACGTAGTCCTTGTATTTTGTCGAGCAACTGACGAGAACAATTTGGCCTAACAGAAACAAGGTTCTTGTTCTTACTGGGCGCTCGTTCCCGTTTGCGGGCGCGGTCCAGTAACTGCTACGAATGCTGCGCACCGTTTCTCTTTCTTGTTCTATTTCTCGGATTAGAATGAAAAAAAGAGAAAGAAGTAAAAACGTTACAAAGCATTTGTAGCGCTTACTGGACTGTACCTTGCGGCACACACTAGTATCTTTACTAGTTCGTAATCTTCCTGCTACTCTCGCGAGAGTACGGCCCTGCTGGATGATGCGAGGCACGGGTAGGACAGACACGGCGGAGAAGCGCGAGCGAGAGGCAGGAGAAAGGCGGAGAAAAGAAACGGATATAAAAAAAGGGAGACGGAAGACGTAGGCCTCGGCGGCTGGCGACTGGCGGCACCGCTTGATGTACGCCGGGTCCGTAATTACAGGTTTTCGGAACGCCTCGCTCGGCGAGCCGCGCGCCGTTCGAGAGAGTCTCGGGGCCCTTCCCTCCTCGTCACGCGCGGTCTAACGGGTGTCCCGACCGCGTCCGAAGGATCGTAGCCGAAGGTCCGGTGGCGGTTACGACGTGGCGCAGCGCAAGATTCGTCAGGACCGACAGAATGACGACGACGGTCGATGAAAGCGTGTTCTTCGAAGCACTTGAAATTCTAATTATAGCGCGGCGCTTTGCAGCGCTAGATGAAAAGCCGTGACGAAAACTTGGGATTTTTATTTTCCCTATTATCTCTCGGCACCGCTTATCCCGCGAGTAGTGGTGTCACTTGCGCGCCGTGTAACGAGTCCACAGGCTTTGAGCGGGTTAATTTCGGTGATCATGTTGTGATCATGGAATTGTTGAGCCTTAAAAAAGTCGCACGTGAATAACTTTTACTCGTGCTTAAGGTCGCCCTTTTTTTATATTTCATCGGCCAGACACGGGCACTTGTTATTTAAATTGCTACAAAAATGCTTTAAAATTAGCTAGCAGAAAGAAAGTAGAATTCGATCATATCCTCCTAACATTAAGTGACAGCAAAAGAACAGCAAAACTGAAACATATCGTGCCGGCAAGATGTGACAGCAGAAGTTGTCTGGCAACAACTCCAATGGACGATTGGCAAAGGTTGCATTCTTTACGGGTGGTTCACATGACACTCACATTTATATATTACAGAATGATGAGATAAAAGTACGATATCGGAAAAAAATTATTAAAATTTGCCCAAGAATATGTCATGTAAAATGCAACGTAAGAATCTGAGTGAGTATAGTAAATTTGTTGCTGCGTCGATACGGCACCATGTGTAATGTAAATTTTATGATTAGTTCGGCCCACGATGTGTATTCACTTCATAAATGCAAATTGGAAGGACTGTAAATTTTCCATCATCGATTGTCTCACGTCGTGATAATCATGAAAGTCTGTCTGAGCACCCATTGAAATGACTACCAATACTTTTTTCTCGTGAGATATTATTGGAATGAGTAAAACTTACTCATTTCTGTCTGAATCGTACCACTTGTTACGTCATCAACTTTCTAGAGCTAAACAGAGCGAGAGGTGCATCAGCCACGATACAGGACGAGTCTGTAGAATCATCCTTGCGATACAGCGTATACAGTGTCGGGATGAGTCGATTGGATTACAATCGGCACTTTTTTCCAAACTCTAGCGCGGCGGGGGAAGACGGATCTATGGGAGATAGCGGCGTCCCAAAACAGAGACGTTTCTAAGAAGGACCCCGCCGTTGCAGGTACGAGTTTTCCGTCTTTCCCTTTGAATCGGGATGCCGATCCGACAAACTGTAAATTCGATTCACCACGACGATATGGGACACGCCGTCAGTCACTACCACTGCCATATGTCCCTGCTACTACTCGGACAATGTCAAACGATTTCCACGCGTTTGCGTTTACAAGGAGAAAGAGGGAGAGAGAGAGAAAAAGAAAGGAGCCACGTTTTCACTCGGTCGAGTGCGCGCCACGACGAATCCTACCCTCGAAATTCCCCCGCGCACCTTTCGGATCACCCTGTATCGGAATGTCATCGAACCTTCCGCAATCGATTCGAGACCGTATGAACACTCGCGAGAAGACCGATCGACCGCTTACTATTGCCCCATATACAGTGTGTAAAGCCGTCGTCGTCGCGAGAGCGCCGTGACGGACGCACCGTCGCCGCGGCGCGCTTAACGGGTGTTAAATAATTACGCGGCCAGTTTATCGCGAAGCGAGCCGGTGGCGCGGCGTGATTCCCTTACGGCCCTGGGCGATTCGAGGCTTCTCAAACGAGGAAAGCATACACACGGCTCCCATTCAGCTAACCCTTTCAGCTAACCCTCTCCGCTCGCCCTCGCGCCCCCTACCCCCTCTGCGCTCGCGATCCTCCCTTCTTTCTTCTCTCCTCGCCCTCCGTCCCGCTCCTCTCTTCTATCCGGAGGTCCCTTCGGCTCGTTTGCGGAGAGCAACGTCGGCAAAATCTCTCTTACGCGCCCGAGCGCGGACGTGTCCGAGTCCCCTTCCTTATCCTCCTCCTCCTCACCTTACATATCCTCATTTACTCCTTTCATAGTCGAGTCTCTATTTATTAAAACAGATCCGAATTTTTCAAAAGTTACCTGCGACAATTTTTCGCAAATTCTTATGTGCACCGACTCTCGAGACACGGACTGTCACGGTGGATGAGATGGATGAATTGGCTACATAATAATTGACTATATGATAATTAAAATTGATTATATAATTGGAATATAGTTATGCAAGAATGATTCAACCTATAAAATTTTGAGTCTTTGTTTTACCGATAAGTAAGTCTATACATAAAACGAAAAGATCCAAGCCTTATGCTTGATATATAATGTGCTCTTCACTTTCTATTTCTTATTCTTTATCTTTTGCTAACTAAAAGCTCAAAGTTTTAATCGCAAGGAGATAGAAAAAAACAGGAAGCAAAGAGCACATTATAGATCAAGTTTTATAGGCGTCCAGAATTAAAAAAAGTTTTTATTTCCTACTAGTTGCGTCTTTTTTACCCATTTTTTAAAAAGTTAAGCTTGTCGATGAATATCCTTCAAGAAAATTGACGTGTTTAACTTCTTGAACAATTGCGACGAACCTGAATGCCATCTATTCTTTTTAAATCACTAATATGTGTACTAATTATTATGTATGGGAAGTCGACCAAAAAAAAGCAAAATATTCTTACTATGACATTTGACAGGTGCAATGCAACTATCATATTCGCGGTCAATTTATGAGGTAATAATAAACACAATAATGACAATTGTGTCTATTATCGTTGATAAATTAGTTGTGAGTGTTATGTCGCCGCTAATAAAAAGAAAAAAGTGAATTCCAGACGAATAAAGTGGATGCGTGCGCGCAGTGCGAGAGTTCCTTGAAAAGATTCGCGGTTGGACGATAACAGGCCGAAAAGGGGGCTTTCTCTCGCTTCTCTTCTCTTTCCCCGAATAAAATCCGGAGCCTTTTCTCTCGCTGCAAGATCCGGAGGACACGTTTCTCAGGGTGACCGATACGAGCAACATGGGACGATACAGCGGCGGAAGACGAAGCGGTCAAAGGCGTGTCACCGTTATCGCCAGATGACTTTACGGAGGTATTATGCCCGTCGAGCTGCGAATCTTTCAAAGGAACTTCTGAAGGACCGCTCGCCCCAGGTGGTGGTGGCGGCCAGGAAGGACGGCGCGCAGTGCAGTACTAACCGAGTCGCCGCCCCGGCTCTCTTAAAGAACGGCTACCTGAAGAGAGAAAGACCCGAGAGAGGTTTTTCAAAGACCTATGTCAAGCTTTCGGGGAACCAGTAATGCTTTAACGCCCATGTTGATGGGCGTGGAAATTGCAGAAGATATACATGGAAAAATACATATTTTCGAGTGAATGTTACTCAGTTACATTTTCGGACTATCATTAACCTGGCGTTGGTGAGGTGAAAAAATATAACAAAAGTGGTAAAGTGGATTCCCACAGACTCAACCAAGTATTGCAGTGTATTATAGAAATCCACATCTTTTTAATCAATATTACGTATAAGTGTCCTGTAATTTTACAGGATAAAAACGCAGATCCACAAAATTAAATTTTTATTACCCAAAAATATCACTCACTACCATGCGTTGTTAAAGACTTATAGTCAATTTCAAATCTTTGGGATCTGTGAGACTCCATCTTACTAATGCCGGCTTAAGAAAATATTCTTTGTTGAGAAAACTACTCAAAAAAAGGAAAATAACCTGATCAGTCGCTTTGGTTAGCAGTGGAATATGTTTTTTCTTTAGCTTCAGACTGAGCGGCGATGTTGTATAATAAAAGAAATGATGTTTGTAAATACTGCGAACATCGTACTATTAGCTCAGCAAGATCGTGAAGCGGAAACATTCCGATTAGCGACGGTCAAAACAATCTGAATGTTTCAGGAATTGTCTACGCGCGACGGCAATTTTTTTCGCAAAATTCCTGTATTCTTCAAACACAGACTGCCAAGAAATTTGAGTACCTAAATTAAAGATGATTTTGAGGATCTCGCACGACAATAGTGTATGAATTCGCGCGGGACGGAAGTAGAGCCCGTTAGAAGTGGCGCAGTTGATGATCCGTTCGGCGCACCGTAATTAATAGTCTTCCGTAATTCAGCGCAATTAATACCTTAGCTCCACGCCGGCTCATGGAAGCTCAGCGGCGCGACTCGTTCATCATCGTCGTCGGGTTGCGCCTGGCCAATGCCTATTAGTTGCGATTCCTCTCTTTTCAAAATCCACTTCTCACGTCGCGGACAACTATCCCGAGACATCGATATCATTCTCCTCCACACGCTGATAAGTTATCGCATTCCACGGAAAACACCCTCTTCCACATAGACACACACACTTCCACGTGCACACACACACACACACACACACAGATTTGCCTAAAGTCCGAGTTGTTGACACACAAACTGTCGTTTCTCAATTTATCACGAAAATTCGTCTTTATCTTGAACCCTATCTTTTTCTGTCGAGAGAATATGAACCGAGGAGTCTCCCCTCGTAAACATCCGCCGTGAGATCACGCTCGTTGTGATTTCAGCGCGATATCTTCGAGTGGCCGTGAGTCTTCGCGTTTCCCTTCTGCGCGGCGGCGGTCCTTCGCGACGGGAAAGTTCGTGGAATGCACGCGAAGAAATCGCAGCGGTGATCGCTCGGCGATCGCGGAAATCGCGTAACGGTCGGTATCCGCCGATCGAGTATCGCACCCGGCCGAGCGCATCACTCGTGCGGAGATTTTCCAAACGCAGGCATCGAAGTCTCCACCAGACGCGGGACTCTGATGCGCGAGCTCTCCCTCGCCTTCACAGATCTATCCCGGGCACTCGCGAATCAACCGGTTGGTCGAACCGACTTCGCACTCGTGTCAATACCAAGTTGCAGTCAGTCTTCGTTGCTGCAAGTCATTCGACGTCTGCAACAACTGTATTTATCTCCTATCCTTTTTTGAAAAAAGAAAAAAAAGACTTCCTCCGCTAATTCCAGAGCGGGTCACACGAAACCTCGCAAACGTCTCGAACAACTTGAACACCTCGTCCGCAGATCACGCGCGATCCCGTACGAAGCGACGGTGTTTTTACGCGGGAGCCGCGTTCCTCGACGACCGCACCGTGAGTTCACCAAGATGACCGCAGGGAAAAGGGTGAGAGGTATCTTCGCCAGTGGACTGAGAGATGCGGAAACGAGACTTGGACGACGGTGACGGCGGCGGCGGCGGCGACGACGAAAAGCCGTCGTGTATCAGGACCTGTACCCTACGCAACGTACACGGTGAGACTGAAACTACAGTGGACCGTGGAGTCAAGGGAGAGCGAGCATTATCTGCGTCTCTCCCTCTCCCTCGTCCTCTCTCTTTTCCCCTCGTGCGGTATGCTTCTCTTTTTCTTCTCTTCCGCCGCGCTGCATCCCCCCTTCTCTGCCCTTTCCTTTCCCCTGCCACAGCCATCCTCCTTTACGGGCCGATCCCCCTTCTTCGCCTCGCTAGCCGACTTCGCTCTTTCTTTCTTGAGAGATCTCGGCGGACGAGGACGCGGAACAAAAAAGTGATAGGGTCCAGGTACAAGGGCAAATTCTTAAGAGAATTTTTCAACGGAAACGCGAATTTTTCGTCGTTATCGTTCGGTCCGGCGCGCGGCCGCTTCTTACCCGAGATAAATAATAATCAGCACGGCGCTCCTTTCAATTATCGGCCGATTATCGCCAAATATGTGCAGCTAGTGCGTAACGAATCCGAAGACAAGTCGACCGCAAAAGGATCAGAAAAAGATGATGATGAAAGATATGGATATATACAGGGTCTTCAAGAAGTGTGGAAACCTCTTAATATTTTGAAAAATATGCATTTTTGAAAAAAATGTTTCATACAAAAGTTATAGGGATTTAAGTGACGCATTGCGTGGCAATATCAGTGTGACCTTGAATTGCATTATCAAGATCACGTGAAGGTTATCTTCAAATTTTTTTAATAAAAGCTCCTATCTTTTATTGCATATTCTTATAGCTTATCTCGAGAGCTCCTAAAACATTATAATAAAATATTTTTTCATTACGTACTTTTTGAATAATGAAGTTTGGAAGTTACAATACCAATACAATGAGGTCCTTATCTCTGATGTAACACATACTTACGCGTGCACACAACACACACATATACAAAAGAGGTGTAAATCCGATCGGACCTCTATGTGGTACACTTTAGGTAATGCTAATGCCGGCGTAACTTTCAAACTTCATTACTCAAAAAATACGTAATGAAAAAATACTTTATTATAGTGTCTTAGAAACCTTTCGAGGTAAGCTATAAGAATATGCAATAAAAGATAGAAGTTTTCATTAAAAAAATTAAAGATGACCTTTACATGACGTTGACAATGCAATTCAAGGTCACAATGATACTGCTACGTAATGTGTCACTTAAAGCCCTATAACTTTTGTATAAAATATTTTTTTAAAAATGCAAAAATTTGTTTGAAATTTAAAAAAAAAATATTTTTCGAAATATTAAGAGATTTTCACACTTTTGGAAGACCCTCTGTGTGCGTGCGTGTGTGTGTGTGTGTGTGTATTTATATATTTATGCACGTGTATCCCTCTCTATATACATGTTCTATTACAAATACTTTTGGAGAATCCCAAAGAAGACTCAAACAGATTAGTGTTCGGACATATCATTCCGATATTGCTTTCTTTTATTAAAGCGCAATATCCTCTGACAACAATGAAGGAATGACCGTAAGCCGGCGGGACCGAGAATACAACGACGTGACCAGCGATAATCGAGCGACAAATTCGCGTGACAGTCGGGAAGAGGACAAAGAAAACGCACGAAAGACCAAAGGATGGCGGTGCGCGGGGGAGAGGAAGCGAGGAAACGTAAGGGGAAGGAAGTCGGCGACTTAAAAGGTGTCAGCGGTTTGGCCGTGTCGACGTCGTACCGTCAACGAAAGAAGCCGAGTGACACTCGATCTAGAGAGATAGCAACATATATATATATATATATATATTACACACATACATGCGTATTATATATATGTATATGATATGCTCGAAGGAAGAGAGGTGAATAGATTCACATCAATGTGCTTGTTTATCATTTTTCCCTGCCATTTCTATCAAGTGCAGTCGGCATTTTTCTCCCGTTCTTTTTGTACGATGAATAAACGTTGCATAAAAAAAAAAAAAAAAAAAAAAAAAAAAAAAAA